TATGATCAAACACGACTATTTTTAGCCAAATAGCTTTAGTCTCCACCTCGTCTTTCCTATTTCTATCTGTTATACCATGTCCATCACTTCCTAGGTCCTAGTCTCTTGTGTGCTAACCCACAAATGTTGTGGTTCAATATTTAACCTAACCAAAACAAGCAGTATCACAACATTTGTGGATTGGCACTCAAGGGACTAGGGCATAGGAACTCATAGACTTGGTATTAGAGATAGAAACATGATAGACGCGGCGGCGATGGGAGCTAGTGGGCTGACCTTAGGTTTTATAAGTAACGTAGTACATGTGGCAAAGGCGTGAACATGAGACTTACTCAGAGGCTTTAGCATCGAATTAGTGATCCAGATGTAGGGGAGGGCCAATAACGCCTCGAGTGGCACAGATGGGGTGGCAGGGGTCGAGTGAAATATGTGAACGAGAGAGAGGGCAGACAGATCTTTCGGGGCAAGAGAGAGACTGTGACAAGACCTATGAAAGGAGGACTGCGTAACAATAGGGCAAACTCTGATCAACATTATTAGCACAAGGATGAAGGGAGGTGAGAAGGCCAGCGTGGAGTGCGGAGGGTTCTCATGAAAGCCGCTCAAAAGGGCACACCGTACCACATTTAATTAAGCAAGTAAAAAAAATTGACAGTGAAGGCGTGATATAGGAAATGTGAATAGCCCAAGGCAGAAGGGAAGATACCATAACTGTTTAGCACACGTTTGGTCAAACTTCACTTGTCTCTTTGACGAGTTGTAATATGGTGCTACGAATGGCAGAACTCACTGACAATGCCGGCGAAACGTCTGGGAATGTACCACGTCCACGATCCGACTTTGGAAATGATTATGCATACAATGGACTCCGGACAAAGTGCGTTCCTCTAAGTCTTCCTACAAATATGACCGTTTGCGAAAACAGGGTCAAACAACCTCTATACAACGAAAGAAGGCTGCGACCACACAAAAGGCCACACCATCTTGGCCTTCATAACTTCGATTATGTTATCTATTTGATATACACATTTCAACTTCTGATTGGAGGATACGGTGCCCTGCTTTGATTAATCGACGCGAAATAGATTTAAAATCAGTAAGGCACACACGTGATCTCTGTACCCGAGGTTGTTTAGTCATGGCTACGTACGGGTAAAGTGTAGTGATACGTCATTATAAGTCCATCCTTCCTAGAAATTTTGATTAGACTTCTGGAAGAGTATAGTCTTCATAACCTGTTACCCCACATTCCGTCTTCAGAGATTTGTTGACCATGTGTATGGATTATTTCTATTTCAAAATAGTTTTTTTCCTTATATCTCTTTCTTCATTATGGCACGAATTGCTTCATATCTGGATCAGTTGAATCCCCATGTACCCACAACACATTTCAATTTCCGCTATTTCGAGGTGGATTTGGGCGACGGGAAGACGATGTGGTGGTTCGGTGGTGGCAGCGATCTGACACCTTATTTTCTTAATGACGAGGATGCGCACCACTTCCATTCTGAGCTCAAGAAGGCTTGCGATCGTCACCAGCCCGGATGGTACGAAAGGTTTAAACAACAGTGTGACGACTACTTTATAATTAAGCATCGTAGTGAGTTATACACCCTTTGCACCTTTCAATTCTTTTTGTAAATAGCTATTTAACCTCACTTGTCGGGAAAACTTTTGTTTCGTTTGCAAGGGCATGATGAAGAGATTCGTAGGTTGACCTCACCAGAAACTGATGGCTGATTCCCCGTGGCTATGATACGACGTTAAGGTTGACGCAGTCCATGAGACATATTACCTCATTTCATGCAGATTGGCTAAGCCTCGTCAATTATATAGGTCAAGGAGACTGCCTAGTGTTGATTTAGACTTTTACACTAGTGATTTCGAGCCCTGATGATGTCAATTATGTTGCAAGTATAAGTTTGCTTCATTCGACAATCCCACCACAAAGTTGTATGGGAAAATACCTGTCCTTTCTTGAAATTCACATCTGCCTTGTGACTCAAGGGCACTTGTGACACTGTCTTAATGATCAATGTGTCGAGATCGTACGCTGCACTGTCATGGTTCGAGTCACCACCGTTTATCTCGCTCTTCTATGACATTCTATTGCGTTCCAACCTCCAAATTTGATGCTTCTACTTTATTTGAATAGTCTCACGATAGACGCCTTCACTTGGTTTCCCATTGTTACTCTCTGGTTCCTTTGTAATTCCTTTTCCTAAAATTAAAAGTCTTACCTTTGTCCAGTCGTCTTCTTTTTGCTGATATTGCTGTTCCCTGCTCTTCGAGTTTGCTCAGGGAGTATGCGCATTTTTCGCTAATCCTGCATTATTCAAGTCACCTGTTCATCAGGTCTCTATCAGTCAGGATATCAAGGGCTTCTCGTACCTTACTTTTTCTTGTAGTTCCACGATATGTAGCCAGCCTTTCTGTCAATTTCCACTCGATTTCGTGTCCCGTCCGTGTGATATTTTCCGCTATTTCGGATCTTTCAGTGCCCATATTTCTGCAGAGTCGTTGGTGCTTCTTGATTCGTAGGTTGATTTTTCTTCCTATTTCACAAATATTCTTCTGCTCATAGTTGGCGCATTTGATGCTATAGACTCCCAAACAATCAAGTTTGTCAACCTTCTTATGTTGCGCTGGCAGGCTTGTGAATTATGTTGTTTTTTCTTTAGTTATCACCTTGATATTCCATTTTAGCAACGGTTACAATTTCTGGATCAGTTCACGGGAGGGCATGCATATCCACATTTTGTCGTCCTCCCGATTTTTGATCTTATTTTCATAAAATCCTAGTTGAAATCTGTCCTTTATGACCCTCATATGTCTTTCTATAAATTCTCCTTGGTACTCGCTACTAAGGCAAATCCGAGTCAGTTCTTT